TTTCTGTGCACCTGATGCTTTTTCTCTGGGAAGCACTCCTCTCCTCAAAGGGGAAAAAAAAGAAAACTAAAGTATAAGCCACCATTAGGGGTATAAAAAAGATCGCAGATAGCTGGAAAATGGATTATGCAGAGCAACAGGATAAAATAACCCACAGCACCAAAAACCTGGGCTGCCAGGGATCAATTACCACTGTGTCCGTAATGATCTTCTTACATCAAAAGCCCTTTCAAGACATAGCAACATACCTGCCCTGAAAAGACTCTTGAACCCGAGGATAATGTAATCATCAATACTATATCCTTTCTCCTTTGTGAGCACTTTCGAAAAAGCCCAGTGGAGTTGTGACTCTGGTATTAAGTTTCATTTTAAACAATACCTTGAAACCATAATGCACTCTTCCCCCTGAAAAGTGAAATATTTACCACCACAGTGGGTACACCTGGCATGTCTGGCTGCAAATGGAATAAATCCGTGATTTTCTTTCCCGTGCCTTCTCCCTTCTAGCCTGGCCGAGTCAGTTGCAAATCAGCTGAACTTACCCGGCTTTTCGGTTTTGTTTCAGGATCTGGTATTTGTTTGTGCTTTATCTTCCCCTACCTCTTCATAAAAAGAGTAAACCAGTCTGCCTGTGAGAGTATTGACTGGGCTAAGAATGCGGGATTGTGTTGCAAAGGAGCTCAGGCCTGCAATGTTATCACTCAGCAGGACTGGGTCCCATCAGAAGGCACATGGTGTGCCATGACGTAGCTGGTCTTCCGCCACAAAAGCAGACTTTTCTCTGTGAATTAGACGAACCACACAAAAGGCAACAATAGCTAGCATAAACACCATTTAATACTATTCACAGGCTATTGAAGAGATGGGCGTTGACGAAGAATTGCAGCAAAGCCAGGACATTGTGGTCACATGAAAGGAGGCCTCGTGAACAGGAAGCATCATTGGAGCGGGCTGACAGTAACCATATAACGGCAGGATTGTGGGGCTGGCATTTACCCCAAGGGTCTTTACAGTCAGAAAAATAAAGAGAAATTAAAGCATAAGGAATCCTCTTTGTGGGCACTTAAAGCCCATGAAGCAGCACAAGAAGCTATACAATTGTCTTTGCAGGACTCGGCTGTGCTTTAGATAATGATGAAAAGGAAACATTCGGGCTGTGCTCACTTAGAGGATTCTCTGTCCCCCATTGGGAAGACTCATCTGTAAAAACAGATGAAATTTTCACAGCAAAATGAATAGTTGTCTAAGCTTTCACCTCATTTTGAAAGAGGAAGAGCTCACCGCGGCCGGATTAGTCAAACTGCTCACCATTTCTAGACACCTCTTTTTGCCACACGAGGGTCCAGGGCAGGACAAACCGCATTTTCCTGCAGGTGCATAATGAAAAAGAAAATGAAATAAATTCATGGAAATATAATACCTGTCTTTAAAATATTTATCCCTGTGTTTAATAGAAACTAAGTTACACAGACATTTTAAAGTAAGAATTTAAAGTCCTTTAATTTTGAAGCAAGCCTATACGACAATCATTTTTTGATGTGTATTGAGTTCTAAAAAATTAAGTGTAATGGGTGTGCCAACTACATGCAGGAAGATTAGTGATGAATGCACAAGAAGATGTAGGAAGGGACCCTAGAATGTTCTAGAATGTCACTTTACTGAAGTAGCAATGAGAGCCAGAGTTAGGTGACCAGCCGTAGTCACATAACCAGTTATAGCAGCTCAGCTTAGACCCTAGGCCTCCTAACTCCCTGTCCTACCGTTTCGAATATAGAAATACTTTTTTTGAATATAGAACTGTTTTTTTTATGTAAAATAAACTTTTCGGTTGTTTATTTGGCTATTTAACTGTGAACAGGGGCCTAACCTCTCTGTGCCTGTTTGACTATCTGGACAGTGGGATCAGCCAACCCCATAGGGCTGTTGAGAGGAATTAAATGAGTTAGTCTATGTAAAGTGTTTAGAACAGGATCTCAGATACATGCTATGTAGATGTTTGCTGTTATTAGTATTTAGTTATGAAACAGCAGAGTGGGTGTGGAAGACCGGAGAGGACTAGTTCTTGGGTCTTTTAACTGCAAATCAATTTCTTTTTCTAAAACTATTATGATGTCTCTTAAGACCTTAATAAATACTTTGTAAGGGAGGGATAAATTAGGAATTTGGGATACACAGATATAAACTACTATATATGAAATAAGCAACAAGATCCTACTGTACAACACAGTCAATATCCTGTAAAAACTATAGTGGAAAAGAATCTGAAAAAGAATATATATATTATATATGTGAATATATGAATATATATATTATATATGTGAATATATGAATATATATATGTAACTGGATCAGTTTCTTTACACCAGAAACTAACACAACATTGTAAATCAACTATGCTTCAATAAAAAAAAATTTTTTAATTACTCTGTAAGATCAGTGAAACTGCCCAGTGTCACAGACAATATGCTCCTGGTAGAAGATGACTGTTTATATTAAATTCTCCTTTCTTTAGAGCTGTGGTTCTCACATTTTAGTGTGAACTAAAAAAATTAAATTTAAAATTAAAAAAATAAAGAAGAGTGTGTGTGGCGGGGGGCGGGGGGTGTCTTTTACCAACAGATTCCAATTCCGCAGGTCTCATACGGGGCCCAGGATACTGTATCTTAAAAAACGCACTGCCCTCCCCCATAGATGATTCTCCAAGTAGGCTAGCCGAAGACCACATTTTGAGAAAAATTACGCTAGAGCGTAATTCCTTCCTTCTCCCCACTTCCGCCTTCTGGCGGGTGTCCATTTAATTTTTTCATTTGTACTTTGGGTCATCTGTTGCCAGTTAGCTTGATTTGCCAGCACTGATGCTAATAAAAAGGATTCTTTTTTTTTTCCAAGAGATGATATTATTATCATCAATCCCCTTTTTTTTAAATAGAGGTACATGAGTCTTGAACCCAGGACCAAGCACGTCCTCTACCACTGGTCTATTCCCATCCCCGAGGGGTTCTTTCATACCAGTGAAAATTAACTAGCAAAGCGAGTTCTGCAGGAGCTGGACCTATGTAACCATCTCAAAGCCCCCAAATCTAACTCTAGCCAATCACCTTGCCAACGCGAGTGCAGTGAGCATGTGACAAAAGTGTCACAGGTCATCGCCGCGGCCTCCACAGAGGAAGAGCTCCATTAAACACATGCCCCACCGAATGCTAAGTGGATCAGCATCAGACGTGCATTTATTCATCTACTGATCATCTATCTGAGAACTACGGTTCTGGAAAGGGGACATTTAAACTAAACAAGCCACAATACCTTCAACCTTCAGGCAGGCTGTAATCTAGTAGGGAAAGTAAAACAAACACACACTTATCTTTGAATAAAAGACAATTGATGTCATCCAGGTTGTTCTGCCTCTAGTTTAGCTGTTGATTTTCACCCTCGTTCTCCCTGAACTTGCTTAAAGTAACACAGGGATCAGATAACGGCAGAAAAGCCAGAGCCGGGAAGATAAAGCAGGAAGAGGCCATCTGCTGGCAGTTTTCTCCCTGTCCACGTCTCCTTCCTTGTTTGTGTTTACTTGATTCCTCTGTGCCTCCTGAAAACTTGGTGTACAGACACCGTTGCTGTATCACTTTAGCCCCATCCCAAAAGTGTGCTGAGCGAGCGTCTTGTGCCAGGTACCGTGTGCTGCCGTGGTAAGGGGAAAGCAACGCAGGCAGACAGAGCATCCTCTTTATAAGATGATTCGTTAGTGTCTTCTCTCTGCCCCAAACCGTTTATAAGACCCTTAGAATAAAGACATCATTTAATCTGTGCCGTAAGCCCAATACCATTATTATCCCATTTATAATGAAGGCACTGAGGCCGGGGGAGGTGATACAGTTTTCCAGCATCACACAGCTGCTGTAAGTGAGAAAAGAGTGAAGCCCAGTCTGATTCTAAAGTTCTCAGTCTTCACTTCTCCTCATGTTTGAAACTCATATTTTCTGTGCCTCTGCTAGATGCCAGGTACAGTGCCAGACAGAAATTATGTTAATTCAGTGTAATGAGTTCTGTAATGACAGCGCATGAACCGATAACGAAACAGTGGTTCTCAACCGGAGGCAACTCTGTGACCCTCACCCAGTGGGGATATTTGTTAATGTTTGGAAACACTTTGTTAGAAGCAGAGACTGCGTGGGCAGGGACGGGGACGATGAGCCTGGAGAGGCGGCAGGGGCCAGCAGGGAGGGCGAACCTGCATGCCAGGCAGAGTAGGCCTTCAGCCCCTCTAGGGAGGTGGCCCGGGTGGGGGACCAGAGTGGGGAGGGGACTGGCAGGAGAGACCATTCTAATGAGGGCAATCCTGAGTGCAGGGTCTGTCATGCAAGTGGAGAGGAGATGCACAAGATGCAGACAGCTAGCTCTGAGCACTTATGGGGTGAAGGGGAGGGAGGGGTCCAGGTTATGGCATGCGGGGAGGGGACATGTGGAAATGAGAGAGAGAGACACTGTCAGAGCAGGTAGGCTGGCTACTCTGGATGACCTCACATCGGCCTCTGCTGTTTCCTTCAACCAGCAGTGGGCAATGATGAGTATGATTCAAGGGCTCTATTTTCGTAGATCCAGAAAATAAATCTACAAATTCACCGACAAATACAGTCAAGTTTCTCTCATTCCTGGGGCTATAGGGGCTCCCAGGAAAGGGGAATCCAGCCTTTCCTCGAGACTGCCAGCTCCTCTACCTTTCTTCCATCTTCCCTTCTCTACAGGTTTCTCCAAGGGGTAGTTTGTAACCCTCGTTTCCAGTTCCAGGAGCCACTGACAATTTGTTTTCTCCCCAACATGTTACTGAGACTGAACTTTCTAAGGTCATTGTTGGCTCGAGCACTGAAATCCAAAGGTTTTCTTCAAGCTTTATCTTCTGAGACTAGTTTGCAGTGTCTGACACTGCCAACCTCCCCTTGTCCTTGGAATGCTCATCTTCTCGGTTTCCATAGCAGCGAGCCTCATGGATCTCTCACTACCACTTCTTGAACTCTGCTAGGGCCCCCAAAGTGTGGTTCTTCAAGACCACCCGGACCCTCTTCTCATCTGTTTCCTCACTCTGCTCCTTTGGAAATCTCATCTCTCTATTTATTATCTCTCTTAATCATGCTCCAATACAATAAATAGTTCTTGCTCTGTATTTCCTCCCACTGTCCAGTTCCCTATCTCCTTGGAGAGACAGAGCAGCGCCTCCAGCTGAGAAATGCAGTGAATTGCAGAGCACTGACTCCACCCTTTGCCCTCTGAGTGGCCCCAGGCATGGTGCTTATGGTCCCCGAGCTTCAATTAGTCCATGTTAAATGAGACCATGGGCATCAAAGGACTATTAGAGATAGTAGAATGGCCGGCCATAACAAATTTTGATGAGGATAAGGAGAAACTGAAACATTCATATATTGCTCGTAGAAATGTAAGATGGTACAGCCACTTTGGGAAGACAGTTTGACAATTTTATAAAAAGCTATACATAAATTTATAATATGACCCAGAAATTTTACTCCTCAGTATCCTCCCAGAAGAAATGAAAAAATACACCCCTACAAAGACTTGTATATGAGTGTTTTTAGCAGCTTTATTCACAGTAACCCCAACGTGGAACCAACATAAATATCCATAAATTGGTGAGTGGATTTTTTTAAATGTGATACACCATACAATGAAATATCATTCCACAATGAAAAGGAAAGAAGTATCTGCTACAACACTGGTGAACCTCAGAAACATTACACTAAGTGAAAGAAACTAAATTCAAAAGACTACATACATATTGTGTGGTTCCAGTTGTATGAAATGTCCCAAAATGGAAAATGCATGGAGACAAAATGCAGATTAGTGGTGGCCTGAGGTTTGGAGGGTAGGAGCAGAGATAGACTGCAAATACCCAAGGGATCCTTTAGGATTGATGGAAATATCCTACAACTAGAATATAGTGATGTGTACACAACTCTGATTTACCACAAATCATTGTTTATACATTTAGAATGGGTGGATTTTATGTTATAAAAATTATATATGTATTTTTGGAATGATATTATTGATAGTTTTACCTTCTGGATAATGCTCATACTTGATGCTTCTCTATTAGCTAGTATTGCTTGCCACCTAAACTAAGATAAGATAGCCCTAGAAGTTGAACATGAGCCACTCTTTGAGAATGAGCACATAAGAATCAGGAGACAATGAGTTTGTCCAAGGAGGCTGAGAGATAATCAAGCATGACTCAGAGGCATGATTGTAGCCCTCCTTCCAAAGCTGTAATCTCATCACTTGCAGTTTATACATCAGTCTTTCATGAGTTTGGTTTCCATCCTGCAATAATTGTAGGTTAATTCCTACAATAACTGTCCAACTCTGAGCCCCACAGCAAGGTTCATTTGGTTTGCTAATGAACCTTAGCTCAGTTCTTGCTTAAATCATTACAATTTTTCAATTATTAGCATAAAACTCAGACTTTAAAACACATGATTATACCCAGAATTTTAATAATGTTCAAAGTTACAGCTAATAACAGACAATAGAATTGACTATTATTGTCTATAATCTGTTCTGATTGTAATATGAGAGGCCACTAAATCTCTAAATCAAGAATAATTCTAATTTTGTAAACTTTGAAATCAACTCAGTAAATGTAAAATAATTATATTCACGACATAAGGAATTTATTCTAAATACAATCAGAAACCAAATATATGCACAAACTTAGGACCATATTCACAGTTTATAGCAAATCAAAGAAGATTAATAAAATATTCCAGGCAACTTTTTAAAGAATCCAAGATTCAAATAATTACTTGGTTTGTTCTTGGTATTTAAATACTTATTTAGTGCAAAGCCCTTGAATTGGTTTATCCTCATGAATGGGATACACTAGACATAGGTTTTCATTTTGTTGATCAAATTACTGCAACTTTGATTACAAATCATCATAGCGTCATACAGTTAACACTGACTGTCCGGTTGGTGAAACTGGCACTGTGTCCCTTGATCTGAGCCTTATAACAGCCCTGAAAAAGAGGATGTTTGCTTTTCCCCTGCCCCTGCTGCGGAGGGATGCAGTGGGCTGAGTAAAAGAGGCAGAAGAGTGGGGCACTGGCTTTTGGGGGGAGTTTGTCATGACAGGAGCCTCCAGATGGGCAGAGCTGGCAGCTTTCCTGAGGCTGGTGTGAACTGCATGATCTCATGCCTTCCTGAGCCGGGGACAGCACAGAGGGGCTTTATTTGCACTGCACCTGCCTGTAGGCAACAGCATTGATTTCTGCTCCCAGAAACCCTCAGTAAGTGGAGCCGTTCACTGGCAATGCTGCCTCCCCTGCTTATCACCCGAGAAGAAGGGTATAGGTTCTCTACCTCTCCCGCCTATAACTGGTGGAATTTTATCTTTATTTTCCTGGGTGTTTATTTTTGTCAGACTCTGTAGAGACCAGAAACCCACACACAGCCCTTAGTTCTGGATCTGTGAGAAATGACACAACAGAGTAGTTCATTATTTTTTTAAAAGATGCGTTATTAGTCTGCTCCTGCCCACTGACTCATGGTAAATTGCTCATAACCAAAAGAAGCAAGTCGGAGGAAAGCATTAAAATGACAATTTCTCTTCTGTTTTTTACCAGCCACTTTCTTTTCTTTTCTTTCTTTCTTTCTTTTTTTGTTTCAGTTAATTAACCATAGCAAACGGTCGTAATAAGCCACCGAAACAGAGTAATGGAAAAGACTTTGTAAGATTAGCTTACCCTTGACTTAGTCAAGTTCAGACCTTCCCAGGGGGATAATTTTTTCTTCCCTCTGCAAAGATCTCCAAGGGAAGAACCTTCCCCCAAACTCACTTCATACAATTGATCGTGACCAATGCTCCCAACAGTTTCTATGCCTAGTTGAAATTGGATTTCTTCTTGTAGTTCTGGACGAGTGGAAACGTCCTTCAATCTCTGCCTCTTACATAACCTTCTCACTTTTGAGTGCAGTCAATAATCACTCTTGGTGGCAAAGGGATTCTGAGTTTCCAGCCTTCTGGGTAATTGTTCTTTGATTATTATAAAATCACAGGATTTAAGAATTGGAAGGCATGTTAGAGATTACCTTCCCTGGTTTCCCTGCTGTGCAGAAATCTATCTACATATTTCCAACAGCTCCAACCTCTGCTTACACAGTCCTGGAGACTCGGGTTTGTACATCACAGGACAAGAGTCTGCTGTAGCTCAGCATGTACTGTCAATACATCCCTAAATTAAAATGTCCTTCATTGAGCAAAGTTTGCTCCTAGTAACTTCCACTGGGTTCCAAATGGTCTTTCTAGAAAGATACAGACAAGTAGGAACCTCTTTCCCAGAAGAGCCCTTCAGACAGCTGACAAAGCTTAGGTCCTCCTCCTTCCTCTGCCCTAACTCCACACTCATAGAAGCAGACATTCTGATAACACACACTTCATTGCCCTTCACCTTCAGATCAGGGAACTGGATTACACTCTAATCTTTAGTGTTGTGGTCCTCATTTGCATAGCAATAAAGTTGTATAAATATCATAAATCACAGTTTAAAAGTTCTATCTGTAATTTAAGTGCATAAACAACTAAATATAAATATGTTAAATAAAGCAAAAAAAAATCTTCACTTGAAAAGTAGAAACTCTACAGCAGTTTGTATCAGTCATCTCCAAAATGGGATATACCCAACATAATCCTCTGGGGCACAGGAAGGAAATACAACTTCTACTCGTAATTCTTAATCTACAATGTAAGAAAGGAACTAAGCCCTACTAATATTGATCACATGAAGTAATACACGTACATCCTTGCTAAATACACATGCACAGGCTGGGGTGGTATGTGCTCAGATTCCATTAATTATAGAGACACACTATCAAATATGTCTGGAGACCTCTGGTTTAAACCATGCTTGCTACCTATTAATTCACTAATCTAAGTTGCAAATTCCTGTAAGGAAAGTCGAACATTAGCACCTTACACCATCGCAGAGATATTTCACAAAGTAATCTAAGATCATGTCAACAAAAAAAATCAAGAATACATTTTAATGTGTTTTAAACTGTATTAGCTGTTTTAATAACTAAGTCAAATAGATATAGTTTCTCTAAACTTCTCCAAAATAAGGCAAGTGGAAACAGAATTTAGTTAACCTCCTTACAAAACCAGAAGTCTTCATAGGTGCATTCTGGGTATCCTGTGAGAACTGTTCCCCATGTAGACGTATTTTTGATGTGTTTGTGGGAAGAGGTGAGCCCCGTGTCCTTCTGTTCCACCATCTCAAAGCACCTCCTCATCAAAGGTGTATTCTAATATCAATTTAATTAAATTGGAAGTCATTAATTTGACTTTTCTATTTTAATGTTATGACATTAACAGTTACTGGAGTCAAGATAATATTTTTTTCTTAGCAACTGTTGGAGATGCTTGTTCGGGGATCACTGTTACCTTTTTGGGAGCCGTGGTGCAAAACTGTTTTGTCCAGGTACATGGTTTATAAATCAGGATATCACAGATCGATGCTATGGGGTTTTTCTTTGCAATTGTGAATAAAATATTTGTGTTTTATCTCTTTCTCCATCTTTAAAGTGGGGACAGTGGCATGAAGGTACAAAGACACACCTGATTAAAAAGAAGAAAACAACAGGAAACAAAAACTTAGGAATAAGGGAAATAAACCTAAGAAGTGAGGCAGAAGCTTTATGGAGGGGTGAGCCAGGTACAGTCGTTTGAAAAATATTTCCAGTCTCAATTTGCCAGTGATATTTACATACGGCGGTGGCAGTAACAGACAGCAAATCATCCTCAAAATGGAGCAGGTCACTGTAATATGAAGGGAAAAGAAATACTTCAGAATCACATTAACTATTCAGTGAATTTGCAGCACCTCTTACTTAACGAATAACACACACACACAGAGTGACATCAAAAACCAAACGCTGAACAGCTGTATGTTAGTTTTCCTCTGATTTTTAAAAGACAGGCTGTTGTTATTGGAACTGTTGAGTTAGAGGTGACGATTGCCCTAGTTAGTATGTATTTTAATACACGGTCAGCCTCTTTCTTTCTGGGTGTGATGACATGGGCTGCGTTGCTTCTCTCCCCGTTCTCCTTCGATATCTTCCTCAGTGATGATATAAGCAGAGTGGCAGGGCCCACAGACAAAGCAGAACCCTGACGATGCTAACACACTCAGGAGGACCAGCGAGCTTGGCCATCCTCCTTTTTACCCATTCCCCTCAAAGTCCGACCCACAAACACAGCCCAGCGCCAATGCGTCTGCCGCCCGGAAATTCTCTGATGAAGCTGCCTGATTTGAATCCTAACTAGAAAAACCAAAGGACTCCAGCTCAGACTCCAGAGGAAGATGAATAACAGAAATGCCCTTCTCTCCTGGAAAAAAAAATCTAATTATATGTGTATAGATTTTTTTTAAAGGTTGGCACTGAATCCTCAGAAATATATTAAAATCATATTTACCTTCAATAGGAAAGTTGAAAGGCAAATGACATTCTGAGACAAAAGGCCAACTCTGAAACTCAGGAGACAGTGACAGCTACAAAATGCAGGCATGTGATGAAAGGGTTTCCATAAATGCTGACGTCTTCCTCGTCTGACGTGTAGGGAGAGTTCAGAACCTAAAAATCATCATCCATTCACTGTTCCCTTCTGAGCATCTTCTCAGTAAGAGGAAGCTCCTTTTCTCACCTAGAGCTTAATAAAAAATCTTTTTGAACATGAGGGTCTTTTTGTTGGTGGTGATGGTTATGGATTGGCTACAAATCTGCCTTAAAGAATTCAACAGTTGCTAGTATACTGGCATTTACTAAAACTAATAGAAATAGTAATACAGGAAGGTAATACAGCTTAATCCTAAGAGCATGAACCTTGGACTCAGAAAGGCCTGGCTTTGCGTCCTGGGTCCATTTTTATGAGCTGCGTGACAAGGGCAAATTATTTAAATCCTCTCAGCCTCAATACTGCACTCATAAAATGGGATCACAATACCTATGGCCCAAATTCAACCTAAAGGGAGGTTTGAATTAGATGTGAAAATGTGCGTGTAAATAACATAAGCTCTCAGTAAACAGTCACTTTGAGTAACACCATAAATTCATAGCAATTGTTTCATATTCAAGTTCAGATGATAAGGGGACTATCTTATAGTCAAACTAGAATTGTTTCCTAGTCCTCTACTCTGAACAAATGTGTTATATGCATTCTATCAAAACCCCAGACCAGTTGTGGGATTTTAATTTGTAAATATTTGTCATATTGTAATTTTCTGGAGAATCTTAAAGGAAAAATAGTCTTTTAAATTCCACTGATAACCATGTCTTGCTTTTAGCCCTCCTCTAGTCTCCTATGGGGCCATTACATAGATTTTTTTCAAAATGTGATTTAAAAAAAAAAAAAGAATGAACAGGTATCTATGAATATCTTACAGTTCTTCCTGTTCTCATTCAAACTGTAAGTCTACTGGATACATGCATAATTTTTTTGACTGGCCAGATAAATACTTATTGATTTGGGTCAATGTCTGTGAGATTTTATAAATATAGGTCTCAGCAAAGCAGTCCTCAAATTTAAATACTAGAGGCATAATATCAAGAAGACATATTGCTACCAACTTTAAAAATAAATATCTTGATTGTGCAATTTCCACATCTCAGGACACTATTAATTTAGATTCCACAGTTTAGACTACTTAGACTCACATCTACTAAGGCAGGCAGAGAAGGTTCATTGAATACAAAAAGGATTCCTAAAGATAAGCAATTGGCACCACATGATGCTGAAGCAAAGCCCATGACACCTGTATTTTGATGCCTGGTCTTGTGTAACTAATTACACTAAAACTTAGCAGCTTAAAACAATGAGCATTTGATTCCACAATTTCAGTGGGCAGAATTCTGGGAGCAGCTTAGCTGGAAGATCCCAGCTCAAGAATCACTTCTGTTGGTACAAGCTATCAACCAGGGCAACTGTCTCATCTGAAGGCTTCACTGGGAGAAGATCCACTTCCAAGCTCACTCATGGACTTCTTGGTGGACCTCTAGTCCTCACCGGCTGTTACAAAGATTTTAGTTTTCCTCTTTGTGGGCGTCTCCAAAGGACAGCTTACAATATGTCAATTGGCTTCCCCCACAGTAAGTGAAAAGAGAGAAAGAAAGATTGAGAATGAGCCCAGCTCTGAAGCCACTGTCTTTCAAAACCTAATCCAGGAGATGACATGTCACCACTTCTCTATATCCTATTGGCCACACAGACAATTCTGGTACCGTGTGGGTGGAGATGACACAAAGAGCCCATCTTACTCAGGGGAGAAGGAGGAATAATGTGAAGGGTCATGTCAAGACAATAGGGGGAGTGAGGGGAGCCCAAGCATTTGGCTGGCAGCATTTTGAACTAACTGCGTCTGGAAGGTGATCTGTGGGCTAGGGGAGGGTATAGCTCAACTGGAAGGTGATCAGTTGTGGTTTATTGAGTATCTGAAGCTGAGTCTCAATAAGGCTGTTTCATTTCCTAGGCTATTGCTTCTGTCTTCCAAGCAATTTGCTAGAGTAATGAACTTGTAGATAGAGCATATTTAGGGCATGCTTTGAACCCTGAGAAGATTGGCCTTTCATAACTTAAACATTTGAGGTCTGGATTATTAAATGAAACTTGAAATCAAATCTGACTGTCCTCAAACTTTCGCTATATCTATATATTCACTCATTAGGAAGCTAATTAATACTGACCATGTGCCAGGCACTGTGCTAGAGGCTGCTGATGGCAAATAAATGAAGCAGATGTGTCCCCAAGCAGATTTTATGAAGCCCATAGTTAATTCCTCACCTCTACTCCACAAAAATTGTCTCTCCACTTTTTGCATCATTTGGTAACTTTATTTTCTGCTTCTTGCTATCAAGACTGTGCCTCAATGCTACAAGGAAGTATAGACTTCAAAAGTTAACCAAAAAACCCCTGTCTTCTAGACATGAAAGAAAACGCGTAATAGTATTTGGTGCTTTCATGCTGGGTCCAACAGAGCCACCATTCCTTGGAGAAACCCCTTTGGGTCTGTTTTCCTAATACACAACGTATAGGAGACATTAGTCAACCTGGCGATGCCTCAGAATGGACTTTCATTTCCAGAGTCTGTGATAAGTATGTTTTCTTTCCTCCCTGGTCACGAGAAACAGGCATTGGAAGGAAAATTTCGGTCACTGATAGGAAGTCATAGCTCCTGGCTTGTGGTATGGTTCACCAGAACATTTAGGTTTTCCCAGGACTGGCTTGTTAATGGTTGAATGGACGAAACGCCTGTCAGGAGAAAACCACTTTGTTTTCCATGAATACTTCCACTTTTGTGACCTAGAGCCCTCCCTCAAATCCTGTCTATTTAGGAAGAATTCGGGGACAATGGATTAATGGCATTAATATTTCCCTCTTCACCTCCTGGAGGGCTGGCATTTTTCAGGAGAAGGTGACATCAGTGTGAAACTCACCCTTCTTAAGCTTTCAGAAACATGTCTTCTTATTTAAAGATTAGATTATCCTTCTTCCATTGTTTTCCATTAGATTTTGTTTCCTTTCTCTTTTTTGGGGAAGGCCAGCTCACTATTTTTAAAAGGTGATGGACCATGTCAGGATTTAGAGAGTGAAAGGAAAGAGATTGGTTTGGATTTTCTCACTCTCTTTGTGTGCTCTCAAGCTCAATAAACTTCGAATGGTGACTGCAGGTATAGGGGCAAAGGAAAGCTTTTGTATCCTTAGAAAACCTAGGTTTCAGTTGGATTATGGAGGTAGTCAAGAGATAGGGGAAAAAGTTCAAATAGCATTTTGACTACTTTCCATGTCAATGACTATGTATCAACCATATTCCATGGCTATAAGGATCAGCATGTTTAAATATTGATATAAAAAATTTTAAGGACACAATCTAAGTTATCAAAAAATTGAATGAGTTTGTTGTAATGAGGACAGGACTGTATGTAGTTTATATTC